GCTTAACTGACTGAGCCACCCAGGTGTCCCTCCATGGGCATTTGTAACATGTGGTGTGTTTTTGGATGTCCTAGTTACTGGAAAATATTACTTAAAGGATTAATGAGGGAAACTTTAGATCTCGAAACAGGATGGTGAAGGGAATTCTGAATGTGGTGGCATTAATCTTATAGAGGTACTTGCTTGACTATGCCTTCTATATTTGAGTTGGTCCTTTGTAAAGCATTCATGGAACTTGTCACGGACCAACATATTCCTTCATGAAGGGTATTAGGTCTATAGATTTCCATAAGATATCTTACCATCAAGGTTTGGAGGGAGGTAGGAGCGTACCTTTTACAGGTAGCCCAACTGAAAAAGATAAAGGCAGGGTGAATAGGGTTGCCAGATTAGAAAAAAGTACAGGGCACATCCAGTTAAATTTGAACTTCAGATAAACAATGAATACATTTTTGGTATGTCTCATGAAGTGTTCTGGAAATTCTCATGCTAAAAAATGTTGTTTATCTGAAATGTGAATTTCACTGCATGTCCCGTGTTTTATCTGGTAAACATAAATATGGAAGAGAAATAATTGAAGATGGAGAAAGAGAGGAAATAAGACTGATTAATATTCCACACCCAGATACCAGACTTAAGGAATTTTACAAAGTTTTTGCTTTGAGCATGACAACTCATGCAGATCCTTGAATTAGTCATGCATTTTCTATTGCGAGTCTACATGGAGGCAGATGACAAAGGTGTGGAAGGGTGTCGTTTGCCTGTGTTTTGAGAAGGGAACAGTGTTGGAACCACCTTACATTGATGGGTCTCTTGTGACTCTCTCAGAGCCACGGCCATTCACCTTAACTGAAATCAGATCTTTAAAAAGCAAGGGATTTGAAGAAATAATTTTTCATGGAAGACTTATCCTCATAAGCAGAAGGGATCTGTGTTTGGAAGAACAACTTTTGAAGTGCACTGGTTCTGTTGCTGATGGAAACAAATGTGAATCTAATTTTTTTGCATGATAATGAAGTTAATAAATACATTGACATTTGCAACTTTTAAGAGGCTTCCAGTACTCCAAAGCTGAACTATTTGCTTGGGGGAACTCAGATAATTTCTAAAGCACATTCCTTCCATGATTTTTTTAAACAAAGGCTATTTTAAACAACAACATAATTTCTCTTCATATTTTTATCCCAGATCACAACAATGAAAAATGGCAATTAATTAAGGCTGGTCATAATGTGCCCTTTTTCTTTAGGATAAGTTTGCTTTTTGATAAGATACAATATATTAACACACAAACCACAAACAAGCACATACTCTTGACTCATACAAATATACATGTAGAACTAATACCTACTAAATCGTACCACAAATGAAATAAAAACTGCACAATTTTCAATAGACTCAATTGATACGTTTTACAAATTCTACAGAACATTTTATTGATGTCATTGGGAAAACAAACAATTGAGAGCATTATTTAAAACTGTAACACAGGAGCCACCAGTAAGTTATGGCAAATATAGCATCTATACCATTGTGTCACTGTAATCTAGTCAAAAAGACTAAAAATGCTATCAAATAAAATACTTTTAAAAACCTTGCTTAGCATATCCTGAGGGACACTGTGCATTATTTTCTGTTAGCAATTCAAAACTCAAACCCTCTACCTATGAAGTGCTCATTTGGATGAGCAGCCAAAGGTTAGAAGGTTGTATCATTGTATCTGTAAAACTAGAGAACTGGAAACTCACGTGAGCAAGCATTTCCTGAGACTTCCAACTTTCTGGTCTGGAATGCTAACAGGGGAGAATCTGAACAGGTAACCCTGGCTAAGACATGTCAGGACCTCAAAGCACTATAAAACAGCTTTAAGTCAAGATGAGTTGTTTATTTGTAATTTTGATTCAAGTCCATCTTCAATTCTCTAGCTTGAAGCATAATTGACAATGTATTTAGACTATCATTGCTCGTCATTTCTTATTTATGATGGCCTCATTTTTCACTGGTCCTCTAGTGATTTTTTCTCCTCTTGAACATTTGAGTATCTGAATTATGTTTATGCCCATTAATGTAGGAAATACTGATTTAAGAGTTAAAATGGCAATAGAGTCAGATTGGGTGATTAGAGAGTACAGTTGTACTTGGATAATGTGTGTGTGTGTGATGTGCATCCCGTATGTGTGTGTTTGCATGTGTTTGTGCACACACAGGCACATACATGCCAAACACTTGATGCTCTAGTACATTCACTGTTGGGTGATGCTCCATGAAAAGTGAGTTTTCCCAGTATGGCTGAAAGTAAATATTGAGGTCATCATATAAAATATCCTAAGGCTTTTCAAAGATGCCTCCTCATTCTCTGCACTCATATGAATGTGTGGTAATAAGGGAGACATAAATGATAATGGCGGAGTATTCACCATTTCGGTCCTTCAAAATTACAGACAGGAAAGCAAACCAAAAAAAAAAAAAAAATGATATTCTTTGCATATTCCCCCTCATCCCACCCACTCCTTTGATTTCCTGCTGCAGATAGGGTAAAAGCTGGATTCTGTTTCTGTTTTTGCCTTGCAGGACTTGTGACATAAAGTCTTAAGACAAAGCCAAACAAAAAGTGTACCAAGATGTATCTCCTACATCTTGGGGGCCTACTTGTAGCCCTTGGGCTCCTGGCTCTCCAGAAAGACAATGCCCTGCTAGGACAAAGGAGCAGAGGCTGAGGGTGAGCTCTGATTGCATAATACTAGTCATCACCCTCACTTTTAACTTAAGGCCCACAGACTGCTCCCTAAAGCTGCTCCAGGGCAGAACCAGTGGGCAGAAGACAGCCAAAGGCACCTTCTCTCCATTCCCTTTTCCAAGGACACCCTCCTGGTGGCTCTGCCTCTAGCTAGAGGACCCATGGTCCCCTTCTACCTGCTCCCCCCTTTAGAAATTAAGGCAAGTCCATTTATTCTTGGGTGCCTACTACGTAGGGACTGTATGTCCACATGGAAACCAGAACATTGACTTGAAAGTAACTTTTGTTCAACAAGGTTTCTGTGTGCGTATCATTAATAGCAATAAAAAGCTTTCTCCGGTAAAAAACTGCACAATTAGTCTAATGCTTCAGCATGTTTGTTTTTTCCAGCACCCAAATGACAAGTATGGCAAAGCTAATTCTAGGCAAACATGATAAGAAAGCATCTAAGTTCAAGAAAATACAACATAGTTACCCCTATATTTTATTCATTCCTCATTAATATGTTGAAAGATTTGTTTTCTGTCATATTTATAAGTTAAATCCTTGTGTCATTGCAAGTGTGCTTGGCTGAAGATCCTCCTGAAGGACGAATAATGAATCAGAGAGAAAATCTGCTCACAAAGCAAATTGACAGGATGTAAATTTCAATAATCCATAGTCTTTTAAAAAGGATTCCTATCAACTGCACATTCACGGCAGGTGAAAGAGCTAAAAAGACAATAAACCGCAAGAGGAGGGAAAGTGGAAAGAAAACTATATTCATAAATAAGTCCCAAGCTAGAATATTTTTACAAAAATATTTGAATATGATCAGCTACTCTACTTTCAAAGGTCTTAACCACTTTTTCCATACCTTGTTAAGGATTTCAGTCTCAGACTTAAGTGATTTAGTATTCTCAGTATTTTCCCTTGAAGGGGAGACCTGTGGCTAAACCTGCCCATCTGTGTGTGTCTGTGTGCATTAGCGTCTGTCTGCCGGCAGGTGTGGGTGTGTGTCGGCATACTGGCTGTGGCACGACGCAGACACACAACTGGAATGCGGAACAGTTGCACAGATGCATGCGCTGCAGCTTCTCCCACGCAGAACTACACATGCTTCATAAACATTCTCTTCAGTGTAAAAATGTTCTCCTTCCTCCTGCAGCTGCTAAAAATATACTATTTTCTGATAATGAGTATTTATAATCTTATAACTAGCTCTTGATTATTCATAATCTTGACATGATCTTGAGATCACCCCCCCCTTACCTAGTTGTAAGAGATTAAACCATGTGTCCTATGTTTAAATTGACTAAAAACTGAGGGCGTGCTTTTATTTTTCTGTGGCCCTACTTTGCATGGACTGCATTTCCCCAGGAAACTATTGAGGTGCAATTATTTCCAAACATGAAGTTAAAACCATTCATAAATTATAAGAATTTGAGCAATTTACAGATTTTTAGAAATGCTTCACAATATTCCTTTAAGCACATGGATGAGGGTTATTGTGCTCTTTTCGAATCTGTTAGAGTTGTCAATATCACAAAGACACCAAGGGGGATCAAGTCTCAAAGTTGAGTTATCATTTTTCTTCCCCACAGATGTGGACTATCAAATGTTGGGACACGGAAAGGTTCTGTGAAACTTTTGCCTCCGTCCCAGGCTCGATTCTGGGGTAGGAGAGAACCCAGAAGTGATGAGTCAGTGTTAATTTTCAGTCTGCCCATACCACATGTATTTAAGCGTCTCCTAAAAGCATTTTATGGATCCTTAAGATTTTACACTCTATGTGGCTTCAAAAACTGTTTTAATTCTTTCTGTAACCCTTCCTCTTTCCTCAACTTTCCTTGATGTCAAGTAAAAATTTGAATTGAAGCTTCTCGAAATATGTCCCTCAAAATTTGGGATTTAGAGTTATATGTTTGGAGATGCAAATTTGGTAGGACACAATCTTTCATTTCTTTGGTAGCACAATCTTTCATTTCTTTCTTCTTTCTTTCCCCCCCCCCCTTTTTTTTAATCAAGAGAATGAATAGGGGAGATTTTGTAAGAGTTCTTTTCAGAGTTTCCTGATTTTAACACATTTGTCATAATTTTTTATTTACTGAGCATCTGCAGGGCAATATTATTTAAGAGATTCCTGAATTATAATGGCATCCATCTCTTCCCTCTCCTCCATTTTTCACTACAAGGTTGGCACTAATCATTCTTTCAAAAAAGTTTTTACTCTATATTTATAGCTGCCTTCAATAGAAACACTGTGAAACACTGTTATATTCATATAACACAAAAAATTACTGATTATGGCCTCCAATATTATTGATGCAGGGAAACTGATTTGATGCATATTTTCTATGACCAAAAGTTAGCAATGATCCACCAACTGCAGATGACTATAGAATATTATATTATACCAAGTCTCACAAAAACAAATTTCAGTACAACAATGTAATACACATTACGTTGGGCATTCAATTGCTTTGAGTCCCATATGGCAGCTGATTTAAAAGAGCGAGCGAAAGAGGAAGTGGAAAGGTTCAGTTAGTGGAAACAGTGTAGGAGCCTTAAGGTTGAATTCAGAAACACAATCAAGTAAACACTCATAAGTTATACGTTACAAAGACTAATTCTGAAAAACAAAATTCACTGATCTTTTTTTATCCCTAACACTAGAAGCAGATTTTGCTCATCAAATGGGAAATGAAATATTTATAGTAATGCAGAGTATGATAATCATCACTGAAGAAATGGATTCCCCCTTTTCCCACCCACTACCAGCCTAATCCCCTCAGTGGAATAGGAAAATCAGAGTGTTTATAGATAATAGGCCTAATACAATGAGTCTTCTCTATCCTACTTGTGGATGCTCCAAATGGGACTATCAAGTGTTGGCTTCTCCCTCATCAAAGACATAGTTGAGCTTTATGACAGTGCTGATGAAATCCCCAAGTTCTACAAAATCAGCAGTGACAATATTGATGCCACTCTCTCCTGGCTTCTGTGTGCGGACCCACTGCATCATGGCAGGAAGAGCTCTGAGAAAGAAAAGAAAAAGACAAGTCACAGGAAGCAAGATACTATTTTTCAAGCTTACAATCCCCAGGCTTTCCTTTAGTTTTATAACTTATTAAAATAAATCCCCCAATTATAGACACAGAATAGGAAAAAAAAAAAAAAAAGCCAAATGGACAATGGTAAAATTTTAACCTCTGAAGGAAGTCTGCAGGAGAAACATTCACTAGAGTGGTCCATACTGGACTTTTCCTCTTTGGAGATCTCAGTTGCTGTGAGAGTTTAGATTTCCCACTGAGAGTTTAGAGTATAGATTTCCCACTGAGAATACAACATTCTTGCACTTGTATTTGAGTTTGGCATGGTATGATTTCAAACTCTGCAAAAGTACGGGGTCAGAGATGACTGCATACACTTAACAAACATTTATTATGAGCCTGTTATTTTTAGGAAATGTGCTAGACACTGTAAATAGATAATAACAGCAAAAACCTCTGCATCCAAAGAGTGCATGGTTTGCTGATAGGCAGGTAGATACAGAAAAAAAATTAACATAATACACAATCAAGTCTCATCCTTTACGCACATTTATTGATCACCTATTATATTCCAGATACCACTGGAGGCCCTTGGAAAACTTGAATGAATCAAGAAGATAAAAATATCCACCTGTGAGGAGCTTACATTCTAATAAAAAAGGACAACCAATAAATAATAATCATAAATAAATTATATCATTTGATAGGAGGGAATAAGAACTATAAAAATGGAGACAAAAAAGAATTAGGAGTGTGCAGGTAGAGAGGGGTGGTATAGATTACAATTTAAAATAAGATGGGTTATAGGCCTCATGGACAAGGGGATGTTTGCGCAAAGTTAAAGGAGACAAGGGAGTTAGTCACGTGAGTATCTAGGGAAAGCATTTCAGTTACCACCATGGCCCTAAAGGGGTAGCAAGCCTACTTGGAAAAAGAAAGGGGAGAGTAGTGAAAGATGAAGCCAGTGAAATGTGGAGGCTTTGGAAGATCTTGAGCAGAGGAGTAGTACAATCTGACCTTTGTTATAAAAGATGACTCATTACTATGAAAGAATAAAGGAGAGTCATCCAATTTGGCCTGAAAGGTCAGGGAAAACCTTTCAGAAGCATGATCCCTGAATGTTGAGGGATCAAGAAGATTAGCCAGATAAGGGTGGGAATGTGGGATAGAGGATGATGCAATGCATCTCATGGGTAGGAAATACCATTTCTTCATTTATTGACAGTAGGGTGTGTTCCTAGGAGCAGGGCATGCAGACAGAGAGACATGGGTGCTGTCAATAATGCTGTGCAATATCCTCTGACAGCCCATTGAAGTGACACCTACTGTGACTTCAAGTGTCAGGAAGGGAGGTTTCCATGGGAAATGGATAAACAAGCAGCCCTGAGAGATGATAATATGACAACAAAGAAAGTGGGAGGATATAGACGTGGACATTGAGTTCCCGGGTGAGATAGAGAGGGAAGGAGAGAGCAAGGGGAGAAGGAGAAAAGAGAATGATGCGGGGAGTAAGAATCTCAGAGAAGTTACATCATAAAATTTATGGAAGTCTTAAAAATGTTGAAGAGATAAGAAGAAACCAGATGTTAGAGGGCTTTCAAAATATAGAACAATGATCAGCTGTTAACCAGGGAAATCGTATGCTTAGGTTTGTGATTGGAGAGAGTGGCTTGCCTTCAGTGTGAACAAATGAATGGGACAGAACTGGAGTGGGGGAAGAAGTGACAATTAGGGACCCATCGAAGTAATCCAGACCAAAGACAGTGGAAGCTTAAGTTGCACCAACAGCAACAGATATATTTGTAAGGAACTAAGGAGATAAAGTGATAGTTGCTTAGTGTGGGTTGGGTGGAGATGGAGAGGAAGAAAGTGGCCATGAATGATGCCTCAATTTCTAGTGGTATTCCAGAAGGTGGACATCATTCACTAATCCTGAAACGTAGAAGGGAAAGTTTCCCAGTGGCCGTGCTAAGCTTGGTCTGCGATGTTGATTCTGAAGTGACTTTGGGACACAGGAGTTGACATCTCAACTGGTAGTTAAGTACAGATCTGATATTTCAGGACACAAAATGCTGTTAAGAGCCATCACATAGAATAGTTAGAGCTACAAGCGTGGATAAAATGACCTGATTTTGCAGAAGGAGAAGAGAAGAGAGAGTTTGAAGATCATGTAAGGGTTGGGCAGAAAACTTGATTCAAGAAAAGGAAAAGGGAAGGAGGTGTAGAAATAGAAGGAACATCAGGAACACGTAATTATCATGAAAATCAGGACAAAAAGGAAGACAGGCCCCTTTTGGTTTGTGAAGCAGAAGTATGGAATGTAACATATGCACATTTCTCCAGATCTGAGAAAGCGTATCTGGTCTCAATCTATCCCAAGCAACACTGGGTTGACTGCCTTGGACTACATTAATCTGGTAGATAATACCTTAAAAATTCTGATCCATGTTTTTCGGCATATACATTTTCCCACTGAACACAGATAGAGGAGGATGCAATTGCTTCTAAAAGAGCATGGCATGGATCTAAATGCCTTCAGAGAATAGACTGGCAGGTGGAGACATTTGGTCCTCACAGGAATAGTTTCAGAAGATAATTGTATCTTATAATGAAAAAATCTGGATCCTGAAGCACAGACTCAAGTGTGTTCAAGTTCATTAGAAAGCCAGATGCTTTTGCAATGTGTGTGCAGCCACTCGGGTTTGAATTCCATTACTTTTCGTTCTGGATTTGCTAGAGCAGAAGAATTCTCTCTATTGTGAACGCAGTATAGCCTTGGCATTTTAGAAAAGGCACACACTCTGTGGAAAAAGTTATAGAACCAGGGCATTTCCTGGGAAGAATGGGTGGCAGGTGGGAGGTGGCATGAATAAGATGACCCTGAGGCCAGTGCTGATTACGTATTGACCTTAACTGAGTGGCTGGTTCACTAGATTCCTTGAAGCTCAAGGTCACAGCAACCAATTCCCATCTTAGAACCATGACCACCACAGAAACAGCTCCTCAGATGCCGTCTAGCACTCAAAGATTAAAATTCCTGGGCCCAAATTTAGCAACTCATTATCATCCCCATAGGGAGATGTTAGGAGAATGTAAGAGTACTCTGCTGTTTCCTATAAAATAGATTGCTCTGAGGATCGATGAAACATCCTTTTGGAATAGTTTGTGGGCCTCAGGTGAAAAAAAAAGGGTTTTCCATTTAAAATGCCATTTCTCTGAGTTGTGGGAAAATTTCTATTTTTCTGTTCAGATATACTTTCCTAAAGACAATATGAGACCAAAGACAAAAAAGCAATAATGCCGGGTCGAATCTCAAATACTCGGACAGTTTTAAGTAGAATTAAATAAAAAGACTCAACATACTGTGTTAAAAACAGCTAATGCTACTGAAGTTATAGTAATTATTTAGAGTGGCATTACTTACCCCATTTTTATTATAGCCCCCCATGTCACCTTTACAAATATTTTTTCCCACTCACCCTTCTGCTTCATGATAGACTGTGTTGACATACTGATTATATATCTGTGTTTTATACACAAAAAGAGTAAATTTTGTATTTGCCCTACCAAGAACCAAGTCTTGCCCCTTTGGATGCAATATTGATATTGACAAGGTAAAATGTATGGCTAATTGCCAAGTATTGCTTATACTGAGTGTTGGATAGAGTGACCTACTCTGGTGGAAATAAAATACTGTCTCAATGTAACGATTTTCATGGTATAAGCTAGTTAAACTTTAGTTTTTAAAATCATTCAGTCATTCAACAAAGATGTATTGTGCACCTCTGAGGGAAGGTTTTCTAAATGCAGGTCCCTAGAGCCACCCTGAAGTTCAAACCTTCATCCGTCTCAGAGAAATGTTGCCATAGCCTTGCCCCCACACTCCTTTCTGTGCCTTTTCCACACTACAACAGGACACTCCTTTTTTCATTATTTTTCTACAAAAACAACCACAAACTCTTCCCTCATCCACAAGGTACACCTAGCTCTTCAGCAGTGTAGATGAATTTGTCTATATTCTCTCACACCATCCACTACACACACCCCTCCTTGGCCTCATTTGTTACTACTTCCCACCTGCTAATTTGTTCTAATGCTGAGAGGCTTGTATCTTTCCCTAAACACACCTTATCATTCATTGCCCTCAGTATTTTTTCACCCTGACCTTTCTATGAAATACCACTCCTGCTTCAGTACCCTTTTTGGTTCGAATAATTTCTATTTTCCCTCGACTAATTTCTATTTGGCTTAGCCATTATCTTGATCCCTCCCATTTAAGCCTGGGTGAATAACCCTTACTTTTCTTTATGCTTTATATCCTTTAAACATAGTTCTGTGACTATGCATTGCATAGAGTGTTGAGATAATTCACTTCCATGCCTATTTCTATCAGTGCTGCACACTTTTCAAAAAACAAAAATCATGTCATAGTCACCAATATATCGCCCATACCTATCACAATATCTGGAACCCAAAAGGTAAAAAAAAAAACCCACACTTGTGGAATTTAATGTTAAACTAGAAATCTTGGTCTCAGATGTCACAAAGTCTAACAAGCAAAATGGATGTGAACCGACTGTAACAATATAATATGGCACCATGGTCATGGGCATACGATTCTATGGGAGCATTAATATATGAAATAATTTATGTCACTTAGGAGAAATCAAAGAAGAATTTAAGGAATAGATCACAAAACAGGTGACATCTGAACTTGGTCATGACTCATTAGATAAAGAAGGAAGGCATTTCAAGAAAAGGGAAAGTACATTCATAAGCCTAGGGTCTGTCCAGAGATGGGCAAGGATTAGAGTGGTACCTATAAAGTGCTAAGATGAGTGTCTAGCTGTCTATAAGCGGTAGGCACAGCTTGTGCAATGCCTTGCTCCAGTCTCCGGAGTCTCCAGGAAGGAAGGGAGCAGGGAATGCTGACAGCCACCTAGCCATAGTACGGTCATAACGCAAAAATAAGCCTGCAGGATTTC